CACCATGTCATCCCGGTACCTTGTCAGCGTGTCATCATGACACCTTGTCACCATGTCATCATGACACCTTGTAACCATGTCATCATGACACCTTGTAACCATGTCATCATGACACCTTGTAACCATGTCATCATGACACCTTGTAACCATGTCATCATGACACCTTGTAACCATGTCATCATGACACCTTGTAACCATGTCATCATGACAGCTAGTAACTATGTCAGCTTTTCATCGCAAAACATTGGTCGTATTCGTCAAACATAGGGAGTTTCACGTGAAATCTCCCGATATTTAGATATCAGCTCAACAACAGTAATGTCAACACTGTTCTCACATCGTGACACATATAAACCACGCGACTGCAAGAGTCAGGAACACAGATCGTTCGAAAACATCCCGTATAAAAACAATAATTTCACAAATAAATCGAGAAATTATTAAATGAAGACAAATTTAGTCTCGTCTGTCAGCGTACATATTACTGATTACTTTAGCATGAAAATCATCACGAGGTTTTTTTTCTGTTAGAAGCTATAAAAAATGAACAGCAAACGTACGACTGCTATAGCTTGAGATTCGCGAGAATGGAATTTTGAAACGCTTTCACAAACCAAGTACACCTATAGTAATACGTGACTCAAATGTGTATAGACTGGTACCTGTCTCGCAACATACACCAAGGTTACATAGTGTAGAGATGGGATCTCGCGAGAGAATTTCGCTCTAGTTTTGTTGCCATATATTTAAAGCATATATCATATATGCTTTATATGCTTATTCGCGTTATAGATACATGTTGAAATGCGGATTGGTGCACATATTGCTGAAAAGAATGATGAGCGAATGTTCTATGGCATGTCAGCCTCACTATATTATACACTCCGTGTGGCGCAAGGAGTGCCGGTAAGTGTCAGAACGGTCGAGAACATATGAAAGCGGTTGAGAAAATCCTGTGCAATCAAAGCAACGCGAGTCTAATCACAGACACACGCACACACACACACACACACACACACACACACACACACACACACACACACACACACATCACGCACACACGCGCACGCACGCACGCACGCGCACGCACGCACGCCACGCACGCACGCACGCACGCACGCCGCACGCAAGCACGCACGCACGCACGCAAGCAGCACGCACGCACGCACGCACGCACGCACGCGCACAACACACACACAACACACACATATATATATATATATATATATCATATATATATATTATGCAAACGCGATATTAATACTGCCTTGCATATGGCGCCATCTACATGGCAAATGGTGCGGCGCTAGATTCGTAATAGGCAGTGCATCATACGTGTGCGCGTGTTTGTGTGTGTGCGTCGCCGAACTTTCGCGTATTGCGTCGGTATAGACGTCGGCGAGTTTTTCACCGACGGCGACGCAACGCGCGGTGCGAGCATAGGCGCACGTATGCGCTTATATTGGCTCTCCCTATACTCCCGCTTATCATTCCATCGCTTCCGCTCGCAACACGAATAGAAGAGCGACCTGCTCCGCCCCGATGTGTCAATCAGGGCGTGGGCGTGGCGTGTGCCAGCGTGCCGAGCGTGGCGCGAGCGCACCCGCGCACATGTTAACAAGAGCTGCTATTGGTTGCCCGCCACCGAGCTGTCATGTTACCGGTTCATGCTGGCGCTGACGTGCTCGGACATCTTGTAACTTTATGTATTACATGGAAATGCTTGGTCGCAGTTTTTTGATCAGCTTAATTTGGTGAACGAACGTCGGTCGTTGTGATTTACATGAGAGGAGCAGAAAGCGCGCGAGCGAGACAGGAGAGACAGAGAGATAGAACGAGAGAGCAGACGACGAAAGCGCGACGTCGTACCACGCCGAAGCGCGTATTTGCATAATAGCTGCATCGTTAGTTGAGGGGAGCCGCACTTCGGACTGCAGCTATAGAGGCATGCGGTGCGAGCAGTGGCGACGCAGCTAATTCCCACATCTGTGAGAGCCTCGAGGAAACCGAAAGAGGAGAAATCCCTACGAGAAGGAGGAGGAGGAGGAGGAGGAGGAGGGACAGTGAACGTGCGAGGGAAAGAATAGCATCTTCGTTAGCATCACCATCATCGTCGTCGTCGTTACGATGACGACGTTTCCACAGTTTCCCATCCGTTTCCAGCAAGCTCGGCGACGTCTCAGGTGAGCACGGCATCTGTGTATAGTCTCTCACCGCTTTCTTCTCTCTCTCTCTCTCTCCGCTTTCGCCTTCTCCGGTTGCCGCACGCACGGCCTGCTGGACATAAAAAGTGCATGCACGCAGACGCTATATGCACGTACTACATACTACGTGTGAAGTCGACACGGCAGCTCAGCCGAGATTACGCTATAGCCGTGTCCAGCGCAGTCGCTACTTCAAAACGTCTTCTTTCTTATTTATTATATCGAAACTAATATGTGTATATATTTTGTAGTGTGTATTGAGAAATGAATGATTATAATATATAAATATGCAATTA